GATATATATACTTGTAAGTGTATARCTATGTATTTGTATAGTAATTCACTTATTAGGGACTTATTGCATAAAATTCAATGGAAAATTGGATTTTGATCAAACTTTCTTTCGATTCGTTTTTAAGTAGACGAAATTGCAATTTGCAATGCGTTACGTTACGCTACGTAACACAGCGATACGCTAACGTGTTAAATATTTGCCTGTTAGCGTTGCCACCACGTTTTATTTTTCATTTGTGGTCGTTTAAATTCCTCTTTTACAGTTACTTAAATAATAATTCATTTTGTTGTTGCTTGTGCTTAACTTTTTTCATTTCATTAAATATACGGGTATTTTGTTTGTGTGTGTGTGTATGTATGTGTGGGTGCACGTTAGCATAAATTACATGTATAATACAATCTTAAGCCTAATTAAATAGTAAATTGTTGTTGTTGTCAAACAAAAAAAAAGTTTAATATATATGTGCATATGTAAGAAGACACTACTTATATGTACACACATACACAGCTGCATATGTATACATGCACTCACACATGCATACATATGCGTGTGTATTCTGCGCTTAACTAATTTACATGGCTAACTTACAGTTTAGACAAAAATAGTATTTTAGAATTACGTACATACAAAATTTAAACAAACCAATAAAAAAATGAAGTTTCGGCCCAATTCATTTATTACATATTTGTTATTGTTTTTTTTTTCATTTATTTTAATTTTAATTTTTAGCTTATTTAGTTGTATAGTACAAGTTTTTTAGGCTAACGACGTTCATAGAGACATAATTGTTGTTTTCCTTTTGTTGTTTTTGCTTTGATAGATGCAATATATCTATAAATATATATTTTTGCATATTTCACAAAACACAAATTATTAAAAAAAAAATACACATTATCCGTTGTCTTAACGGTAAAGGCTGCTATGTGTGTGTGATGAATGAGGAACAGAGAAAGTGAGAGCGAGAGAGAGACTAACGTAAAAGTATTTGCAACGGTAAATACGTTGCAAGCAGTGTTGGAAAATAATTGATCGCTGCACAGTGGGTCAAAATTGTGGCAAACGAATTTTAAAATTAATAATAAAATACAATTAACTAAAATGCAGCTAATTAATATGTGCAGTAGGCGTATTGGATTGGTAGTGGTGTGTGTGTGTGTGTGTGTATTTTGACTTATTGGCTAATTTAAACAAAACTCAACTTAGGCATAAACATACAATTGTTCTTGATCATTTTTCTTGTCATGTGTGTGTGTGTATGTGTGTATGTAAATGTATGTGTGTATATATATGTGTGTACATAACAATATTTCTTCACTTTTCGCTTAAGTAACATAATTGTGGGCATATTTAAATCAACTTATATTTATGAATATATAAAAACAATTAAAAAT